AAAATTAAATATGAAAGAAAAACTCTAAGTAACTAACAAAAAGGGGGGACAAATAATGCCTTTACCGTAAGTTATTTCCAAATTTATCTGTGGCTTGCAACTTTACATCCTCTCTAAATAGCTATGAAACAGGCAGTTTACCCTCCTCAGAATGGGTGTTTGAATCCATGTAACTTTTTTTGTTTTTTGAGACGGAGTCTCCCTGTGTCACCCAGGCTGGAGTGCAGTGGCGCAATCTCGGCTGACTGCAACCTCTGCCCCTCCAGGTTTAAGCAATTCTCTGCCTCAGCCTCCAGAGTAGCTGGGATTACAGGCGCGTGTCACCACGCCCGGCTAATTTTTTTTGTATTTTTAGTAGAGACGGGGTTTCACCATCTTGGCCAGGCTGGTCTTGAACTCCTGACCTCGTGATCCACCTGCCTCGGCCTCCCAAAGTGCTGGGATTACAGGCATGAGCCACCGCGCCTGGCCTTTTTTTTTCTTTTGAGACAGGGTCTTGCTCTGTCGCCCAGGCTGGAGTGTAGTGGCATGATCTCTGCTCACTGCAACCTCTGCCTCCCAGTTCAAGTGATTCTCATGCCTCAGCCTTCCAAGTAGCTAGAATTACAGGCATGCACCACTACACCCTGCTAACTTTTTGTATTTTTAGTAGAGAGGGGGTTTCACCATGTTGGCCAGGCTGGTCTCGAACTCCTGGCCTCAACTGATCCGCCCGCCTCAGATGCATGCAACTTTATCACCACTACTGGAAAACATCAAACATACTTCCAACTTTGATGGATCTAGAAGCATTATCTTTTTCTGAAGCACTTTTTTGTGCCTTAGAATATATATATTCATACACACATACATGCACACACACAGTGGCATATGTGTGTGATGTGTGTGTATAAAATAAATTATGAAAGAAAAAGGGACTGATTTATCATCACTTTGTTAAAAATTAATTATGTGACTTTTCAGAATGTAAGATTCTGTTTCACAGATTATGATATAGATGCTTTTCATTTACTATGAACATGTTCCTAGCTACTTAAAATCAAAATCCTTGGTTTCCTACATTAACTTTACCGAATATTTTAATATTTCAATTGAAAACGAACAGACAAATTTTATCTTCCATAAGGTATTTCTTCTTTCTTTTTTTTTTTTTTTTAGAGCGAAGATCTCACTATGTTGCCTAGGCTTGAGTGCAGTGGTTACTCTCAGGTGCAATCGTAGCACGCTGCAGCCTCAAACTCCTGGCCTCAAGCTATCTTCCCACCTCAGCCTGTTGAGTATCTGGAACTATAGTCCTGCGACACCCTGCCCCACTCACAAGATATTTTTTTCTAAAGCTGTTTTTTTTTCTATTGTATAATACATTTTCATAGCAGAATATTCAGAAAATCCAAAATATAGGAAGGGGAAAACATCATAATCCCATCACTCACATCTACTGTTAATCTTTTCATATCTTTCCTCCAGGATTTTAAGAAAATGCATGTCTAGGCCGGGCGCACTGGCTCACGCCTGTAATCCCAGCACTTTGGGAGGCCAAGGTGGGCGGATCACAAGGTCAGGAGTTCGAGACCAGCCTGGCCAACATGGTGAAACCCCGTCTCTACTAAAAATACAAAAATTAGCCGGGTGTGGTGGTGGATGCCTGTAATCCCAGCACTTTGGGTGGATCACAAGGTTGGGAGTTCGAGACCAGCCTGGCCAACATGGTGAAACCCCACCTCTACTAAAAATACAAAAATTAGCAGGGTGTGGTGGTGGGCGCCTGTAATCCCAGCTACTTGGAAGGCTGAGGCAGGAGAATTGCTTGAGCCTGGGAGGCAGAGGATGCAGTGAGTCAAGATCACGCCACTGCACTCCAGCCTAGGTGACAAGCAAGACTCCGGCTCAAAAAAAAAAAAAAAAAAAAAAGAAAGAAAAAAAGAAAAAAGAAAATGCATGTCTATATTTTCATGCAGTTTAAATAATAACTATGATATATTAATTTTGTATCCCATTTGTTCAACTAAGCATTTCCTGACATCCTAACAAAGCTATTAAGACTATCTTTGGCCGGGTGTGGTGGCTCACGCCTGTAATCCTAGCACTTTGGGAAGCCGAGACACGTGGATCACGAGGTCAGGAGATCAAGACGATCCTGGCTAACACAGTGAAACCCCGTCTCTACTAAAAATACAAAAAAAAAAAAAATTAGCCAGGTGTGGTGGCAGGCGCCTGTAGTCCCAGCTACTCGGGAGGCTGAGGCAGGAGAATGGTGTGAACCTGGTAGGTGGAGGTTGCAGTGAGAGGAGATCATGCCACTGCACTTCAGCCTGGGTGACAGACTTGAGACTCTGTCTCAAAAAAAAAAAAAAAAAAAAAAAAGACTATCTTTGAAACTGATAGCCTGCTAATAGATTATTATTTCCAATATGTTGGGAAGTCATAGCTTTACAACATGCTTGTCTTTCTTTGGCTCAAGGATTCGATCCTTGTGAATTATAATGAACCATGAGAAGGGAAAAAAATTAGAGGTCGATATTTGCATGTTGGTGTAAACACATAAAGAGATTTTGTTTTGAAGATAGATATGACAGCAATAGGGGAGAAGTAAAGAGGACTTTGAAATTATTGCCCACTGGATAATTTTTTTCCTAAGAGTTAGTTCCAGGCACTTGCTCTTGTGGAATGAATCTGAATTTGTTTACTTCCTGGTGCCTAAAGTTACAATACGGGCTTGTGTACATGTGAGAAGGGTTAGGAAAGGTGCATGTCCCTTTTTAATCATTTAAATAGCCTCTTATTCACTTGTATTATCAATAAGCTCTAAATAACACAAAATATTAGAGCACATAAAGGAATGGCTTTATTTAGTTATTTATTCATTCATTCATTTTTTGAGACAGTCTCACTGTCACCCAGGCTGGAATGTAGTGGCACAATCTCAGCTTACTACAAGCTCCGCCTCCTGGGTTCAAGTGATTCTCCTGCCTCAGCCTCCTGAGTAGCTGGGACTATAGACGTGCACCACCATGCCCGGCTAATTTTTGTACTTTTTTTTGTTTTTGTTTTTGTTTTTGCTTTTTTGAGACGGAGTCTCGCTCTGTCCCCCAGGCTGGAGTGTAGTGGCCGGATCTCAGCTCACTGCAAGCTCCGCCTCCCAGGTTTACGCCATTCTCCTGCCTCAGCCTCCTGAGGAGCTGGGACTACAGGCACCCGTCACCCCGCCCGGCTAGTTTTTTGTATTTTTTAGTAGAGACGGGGTTTCACTGGGTTAGCCAGGATGGTCTCGATCTCCTGACCTTGTGATCCGCCCGTCTCGGCCTCCCAAAGTGCTGGGATTATAGGCTTGAGCCATCGCGCCGGCCTAATTTTTGTATTTTTAGTAGAGACGGGGTTTCACCATATTGGCCAGGCTGGGCTCAAACTCCTGACCTTGTGATCAACCCCCACCTTGGCCTCCCAAAGTGCTGGGATTACAGATGTGAGCCACTGCGCCTGGCAGCTTCTTTTATTTTTATGTTTGGTGTGTGAAAAGACTGAATTTTTAAAAATTCTACTATTCCAATGTCATCTAAACTCTGTTAAGTTTTGAAGTGACTGATGGGGAATGGAAGAGGTCAAATAGCTTAGTAATGACTCCACCTGAGCAAGTTACTTAATCTTTTTTGTTCCCTTTATTCTGTGTAAAGGGGATAATAACAGAGCAATTGCCCTAGCATCTGGCACATGATAATAGTTAACATTTATGTCTCTCAAGTGAAGCCTTCATAGTAGCATTTTTGAGTTTTCATATTTGACTTTGATTATAAATCTACTCTTCCTAATACCTCTTAGCTATACTCCCACTTAGATACACAAAAGAGTGAAATAAATTTGATACTAATTTACTAATGCAAACAAGTGGGTCCTCTGCATTCACAGGTATAACAGAACTTTAGACTCTTCTTAAGCAACCCTAGCAACCCTAGGTAGTCACAGATTTTTGTTTGTTTGTTTATTTATTTATTTTTGAGACAGAGTCTCACTCTGTCGCCCAGGCTGGAGTGCAGTGGCGCGATCTCGGCTCACTGCAAGCTCTGCCTCCCGGGTTCAAGTGATTCTCCTGCCTCAGCCTCCCGAGTAGCTGGGATTACAGGTGCCCGCCACCACGCCCGGCTAATTTTTTGTATTTTTAGTAGAGACGGGGTTTCACCGTGTTAGCCAGGATGGTCTCGATCTCCTGACCTCGTGATCCGCCCACCTCGGCCTCCCAAAGTGCTGGGATTACAGGCATGAGCCACTGCACCTGGCCTGTTTATTTGTTTTAATTTTGTTGTGCCAGAGGGCCGATGAGTATTGGATAGTCTGCTCACTCACCAATAGGGACTCAAATGCTGCATGAATGCTTCTTAAAAGATCATACTATAAAAAGAAAGGTTTACTATATCCTTCAAGACATGACAGACTTGAAGAATTGGTCTATTTCGCAAAAAGGTGACATTTATAAGTTGAGCTAGATAAGTAACAACATACGAAAATTATTTCTTACCTTAACAAGAGCTAAAACATGTCAAACATATCACATACAATTCTTCCATTAGATAGTTATCCAGTTGGCAGCTTTTTTGAACACTTATGGACAGGGCACTGATCTAATCATTTATGTGAACTAATTTATTTAACCATTAATAATAACATGATGAATATGTTCCAATAATGCAGAATACCAGAGAACTAGTTTTAGCATAAAAGGTTTTTTTTTTTTTTTTTTTTTTTTTTTTTTTTTTTTTTGAGACGGAGTCTCGCTCTGTCTCTCTGGCTGGAGTGCAGTGGAACAATCTTGGCTCACTGCAAGCTCCACCTCCTGGGTTTTAAGCCATTCTCCTGCCTCAGCCTCCCGAGTAGCTGGGACTACAGGCATGCACCACCTACGGCCGGCTGTGCACCACCTACACCTGGTTAATTTTTTTTTTGGTATTTTTAATAGAGACGGGGTTTCACCGTGTTAGCCAGGATGGCCTTCATCTCCTGACCTCATGATCCGCCCACCTCCGCCTCCCAAAGTGCTGGAATTACAGGCGTGAGCCACCGCGCCCGGCTAGCATAAAAGTTTTTATAAGTTCTAACTAAAATAGTGGAGTCATATAAAGTTGTTAACATTAAAAGCACTTCTTATTTAAGGTTCAATATTCACTTGCTAACTGAAAAACATTGCTAAATTATTCCACAGATGTTCAGGCCATTCCGAAAAAACATCAGAATAGAGTGAAAAAACTCTTGATGCACCAAAGCAACTTTAACAAGCCGTGATCGTCTTCTCACATCCTAAAATACCTGGCCATTAATATTTGAAGAGGGGAAAGCCACACGATAAAGCATGCCTATGATATACATCATGCCTAGTTCTCTAGAAGAAAAAGAAAAGAAGAAGATGAAATCCTAGGAAAGAGGGAAAATTAACTCAATGTGAGATTTGTGGGAGGTGAGAGGGGGGAATTCAAAGATTGAAACAGATAATAAAAATATCTAATCTTTTATATTTGTTGAAGCAAAAAAATCCAGAAAACAAACAACAAATGAACGAATTAGCCGTTTAGACCAGCCATCTTACCTGAAGAGTCCTTGTTTAAAAAGATAAGCACTAATATGACCCCCTTCTAAGTATCGGATCTCACAACCAGGCCAAATTTCTTGTAAACTTCGAACTCCTGTTCGTGGAATATAGGCATCTTCTTTGGCTTGAACCACTATAATGAGGCTTGGATCAACTGGTACTAGGTATAGAATTTTAAAAAATTCAACATATACACATTAGAATATAAAAAACACCACACAATGTAGTAAATAAAACATTCATCAAACTAAACATTTTTTTTTTTTTTTTTGAGACGGAGTCTCACTCAGTCGCCCAGGTTGCAGTGCAGTGGCGCGATCTCGGCTCACTGCAAGCTCTGCCTCCCGGGTTCACGCCATTCTCCTGCCTCAACCTCCCGAGTAGCTGGGACTACAGGTGCCCACCACCACGCCTGGCTAATTTTTTGCATTTTTAGTAGAGACGGGGTTTCACCGTGTTAGCCAGGATGGTTTCGATCTCCTGACCTCGTGATCCACCCGCCTCGGCCTCCCAAAGTGCTGGGATTACAGGCGTGAGCCACCACGCCCGGCCTAAACATTTTTGATTAAGTTAAAAATCAACTATAATAGGCTACATTACTCGTCTCTAGTACGAGATAAACATTCTAAAAATGATACAAAATACTGTGGTTTTTAAAAATTAACTAATTTCTTTCTTTTGTGTGTGTGGGTACACAGTATATTTATGGGTTACATGATGTAAGATATTTTGATACTGGCATGCAATGCATAATAATCACATCAGAGGCCGGGCGCGGTGGCTCAAGCCTGTAATCCCAGCACTTTGGGAGGCCGAGACGGGCGGATCACGAGGTCAGGAGATCGAGACCATCCTGGCTAACACGGTGAAACCCCGTCTCTACTAAAAAATACAAAAAACTAGCCGGGCGAGGTGGCGGGCGCCTGTAGTCCCAGCTACTCGGGAGGCTGAGGCAGGAGAATGGTCTAAACCCGGGAGGCGGAGCTTGCAGTGAGCTGAGATCCGGCCACTGCACCCCAGCCTGGGCGACCGAGCAAGACTCTGTCTCAAAAAAAAAAAAAAAATAATAATAATAATAATCACATCAGAGTACATGAGGTATGCATCACCTCAATAATTTATTTTAAAGATGGGATCTCACTATGTTGCCCAGGCTGAAGTGCAGTGGCTATTTACTGGCAAGATCATAGTGCACTACAGCCTTGAACTCCTGGGCTCAAGTGATCCTCCCTCCTTAACTTCCTGAGTAGCTGGGACTACAGGTGAATGCCACCACACTCAGCAATCTAGTGTTTTTTTTTTTTTTTTTTTGGGAGACAAGAGTTTCACTTTGTCACTGAGGCTAGGGTGCAGTGGTGCAATCATAGCTCACTGCCACCTTGAATTCCTGGGCTCAAAGGATCCTCCTGCCTCAGCCTCTGAGTAGCTGGGACTATAAGCATGTGCCACCACGCCCAGCTAATTTATTTATTTATTTATTTTATTATTATTTTTTGAGATGGAGTCTCACTCTGGTCCCCCAGGCTGGAGTGGAATGGCACGAACTTGGCTCACCGCAATCTCTGCCTCCTGGGTTCAAGCGATTCTCCTGCCTTAGCCTCCTGAGTAGCTGGGATTACAGGCGCCTGCCACCACGCCCGGCTAATTTTTGAATTTTTAGTAGAGATGGGGTTTCACCATGTTGGCCAGGCTGGTCTCGAACTCCTGACCTCAGGTGATCTGCCCGCCTCAGCCTCCCAAAGTGCTGGGATTACAGGCTCGAGCCACCGCGCCCAGCCTATTTATTTTTGAGATGGAGTCTTGCTCTGTCACTCAGGCTGGAGTGCAGTGGAACGATCTCTGCTCACTGCAACCTCTACCTCCCGGGTTCAAGTGATTCTCCTGCCTCAGCATCCTGGGTAGCTGGGATTACAGGCGCCTGCCACCATGCCCAGCTAATTTTTGTATTTTAAGTAGAGATGGGGTTTCACCATGTTGGCTAGGATGGTCTCAAACTCCTGACCTCAAGTGATCCATCTGCCTCGGCCTTCCAAAATGCTGGGATTACAGGTGTGAGCCACTGGGCCTGGCCACCCAGCTAATTTTTACATTTTTTGTAGGGATAGGGTCTCACTATGTTGCCTGGGCTGGTGTCAAACTCCTGGGCTCAAGCAGTCCTCCCACCACAGCCTCCCAAAGTGCTAGGATTACAGGTGTGAGCCATTGTGTCCAGCTCCAGAGTGTGTGTTTGTGTGTCTGTGTGACAGAGTCTTGCTCTGTCACCCAGGATGGAGTGCAGTGGTGTGATCTTGGCTCACTGCAACCTCCATCTCCTTGGGCTGAAGTGATCCTCCCACTTCAGCCTCCCAGGTAGTTGGAACTACAGGCACGCGCCACCACACATGACTACTTTTTCGTAATTTTTTTTGGTAGAGACAGGGTTTTACCATGTTACCCAGGCTGGTCTTGAACTCCTGGGCTCAAGCAATCCACCTGCCTCAGCCTCCCAAAATGCTGGGATTACAGGCATGAGCCACCACGCCCGGCTGTCCAGTGTGTTTTTTAATGAGTAAGATAATCTTAAATTTTCATAGATAGAATGTGATACATTTATCTATCTTTGCAAACATATTCTGGAGCCAACAAAAAAATATACCCTTGAAATATATAAAATTATCTTATAAAGCATCCTTTAAAATGTTTCACAAATATTTACACATCAGCAAATATTCTCAATTTCATATAAAAATTAGTACCTGAGAAATTTGCTACATGAGTACATTCATCCATGACACCTTTCATAAATATTAAAGATTCTTTCCGAAGATTGTTTCTTCTTTGTTCTTTACTAAGTAGGTGGTATGACTGAGGGTTGCAACTTGTATAACTACTTTTGTTGGTTGAAAGTGTTTGATTGAAGCACTTCATCTTAGAGGTATCTTGCAATAAAAGTCCTTCTGATGTTGCACTGACAGACGTTTTACTAGAATTATGGCAGTCAGCAGGTTTTTGGGATACAACTTGGTTTGTTATATCTAAATTTAAAGTTCTGGAAACCAGATTAAGGTTAGTTAGCTTGTCTGCACTGCTAGTGAAGCATTTCACAAACTCTTGTCCCATTTTGAAAGAATCTGTCTGAACATATGAAAGAAAACATTATTTAATATAAAATAGGGTTTTATTAACAACTTTGTCAAAAAAAAAAAAAAGAGAAAAGACAAATGTCCATCAATGAATAAATGGATAAACAAAATGTGGTACATTCAAACAATTAAACAGTATTCAGTCTTAAAAGGAATGAAATTCTGACACATGCTACAACATGGATGAACACTGAAGACATTATCTTAAGTGAATAAGCCAGACACAAAAGGAGAAATATTGTATGATTCCACTCATACGAGGTCCCTATAGCTGTAAAATTCATAGCAATGAGAAGAGAATGGCAGCTGCCAGAGACTGGGAGAAGGGAGGAATGAGTAGTTTTGTTCAATGGGTAAGTTTCAGTTTGAAAAGATAAAAACGTTTTGGAGATAGATGGTGGTGATGATTGCACAACATGTATATACTTAATGCCACTGAACTATACACATAAAAATGGTTATGATAGTAAATTTTATGTTGTATATATTTACCATAATTTTTTTTTTTTTTTGAGACGGAGTCTCGCACTGTCCCCCAGGCTGGAGTGCAGTGGCGCAATCTCGGCTCACTGCAAGCTCCTCCTCCCGGGTTCATGCCATTCTCCTGCCTCAGCCTCCCGAGCATCTGGGACCACAGGCGCCCGCCACCACGCCCGGCTAATATTTTGTATTTTTAGTAGAGATGGGGTTTCACTGTGTTAGCCAGGATGGTCTTGATCTCCTGACCTAGTGATCCACCCGCCTCAGCCTCCCAAAGTGCTGGGATTACAGGCGTGAGCCACCGTGCCCAGCCTCATAATTTTTTTAAAAAAGAAAGAGGTATCAAAATTTAACTCAGGACTAAGATAAATGACTTACACTTTATTGCTGTTTCCTACTTAACAGTAAAGGGTATCATTTAGCCTGCATCTTTTTTTTTTTTTTTTTAACAGCCAAAGTTTTGAAATCCATGATCTGCCTTAACCTTTGAACTTCTAAAAGTCTTACAAATGAGTAACGTAAATTCAAACAGAAGAGGACACCAGCGTCCCCAAATCCCTTTCTCTGGTTGAACTAACCAGAATTAAAAATTATTGGCTGGGCGTGGTAGCTCACGCCTGTAATCCCAGCACTTTGGGAGGCTGAGGCGGGCAGATCATGATGTCAGGAGATCAACACCATCCTGGCCAACATGGCAAAACCCTGTCTCTAATAAAAATACAAAAATTAGCCGGGCATGGTGGTGTGTGCCTGTTATCCCAGCTACTTGGGAGGCTGAGGCAGGAGAATCGCTTAAATCTGGGAGGCAGTGGTTGCAGTAGGTTGACATCGTGCCACTGCACTCCAGCCTGGGTGTCTCAAAAAAAAAAAAAAAAATCAAGAAAAAAAAGAAATATTGCCTGTTAAAGTCTCAAAACTGTATTCTAAGTTTAAGGACTTGTAAATACAGTTATGTGTTGTTTAATGATGGGATATGTTCTGAGAAATGCATCATTAGGTGGTTTCATTGTTGTGTGAACATCACCGTGTATTTACATAAACCTAGATGGTATAGCTCACTACACACCTAAGCTATATGGTGTAATCTATTGTTCCTAGGTTACTAACCTATACAACACGTTACTGTACTTAATACTGTAGGCAACTGTAACACAATTATAAGTATTTGTATATCTAATCATAGAAAAGGTACAGTAGGCCAGGCATGGTGGCTCATGCCTGTAATCTCAGCCCTTTGGGAGGCCGAGGGTGGGTTGATCGCTTGAGGTCAGGAGTTCCAAGACTAGCCTGGCCAACATAGTGAAACCTTGTCTCTACTAAAATATAAAAATTAGCCAGGTGTGATGGTGGGTACCTGTAATCCCACCTACTTGGGAGGCTGAGGCAGGAGAATCATCTGAACCCAGGAGGTGGAGGTTACAGTGAGTAGAGACTGTGCCACTGCACTCCAGCCTGGGTGACAGAGCAAGACTCCATCTCAAAAAAAAAAAGAAATAAAGAAAAAGAAAAGGAAAAGGTATAGTAAAAATATCGTATTAAAATCTTTTGGGCCACTTTATACATGTGACTGAAGCATTGTTATGCATAACATGACCGTACAATGTAAGTAAATAATATATGAGGTAAGTGTCTCCCTATAAAAGTATTCAAACTAATACATGAAAAAGAAATGATAGAATATCAGCAACCATCAATGTATTGATACAGTCATTAAGCATCAGTAGAGGCTTACATCATAAAAAAAGAGAAAATCAGATATTATGTGTTTCCTATAGCCTTGTGAAAGAAATCAAAACAATGAGTTTAATCAAGCCTTTATCTAGATCCAACTGCCAATTTTCAGGCAATGTAGAGCAAAATGCTGAACTGTACCATGCGAACACAAACAGAAAAATCTAGATTGTGAGAAACCCTACAGGTCAAATAACCTAAATTCTTCATGAAATAAATTATAAGGAACATAAAGGGATGTAGGGCAACTTATTTCTTTTCTTTTTTTACAGATTGATTGATTGATTGATTATTATTATACTTTAAGTTCCAGGGTACATGTGCACAACGTGCAGGTTTGATACACAGGCATACACGTGCCATGTTGGTTTGCTGCACCCATCAACTTGTCATTTATATTAAGTATTTCTCCTAATGGTATCCATCCCCCAACTACCCACCCCCCGACAGGCCCCAGTGTGTGATGTTCCCCGCCCTGTGTCCAAGTGTTCTCATTGTTCAATTCCCACCTGTGAGTGAGAACATGTGGTGTTTGGTTTTCTGTCAGAAGGCAACTTATTAAAGGCACTTCAAATAAAAGAACTATAGGGTCTACAGATACACATTTGGATCATAAAATTATTTTAAAAGCAGAAGGAATAAACATAAGGATAATGATCACTAATAATGCAGGAAGGAAGGCTTTGTGATTAGGACACATTTGAAGGGGTTTCTGGTTTGGGTGGTCAAGTTTTATTTTTGACCTAGGTAGTAGTTACAGTGTGTTTGGCTTTTAATAAATGTAGTAAACCACATATATGCTTTGCATGATTCTCTGTATCTGTGTTTTATTTTAAAATAATTTTTATTTATTTATTTTTAAGAAAGAGTCTCACTCTGTCACCCAGGCTGGAGTGCAGTGGCACAGTCTTGGTTCACTGCAACCTACAACTCCTAAGCTCAAGAGATTATCCTGCCTTAGCCTCCTGAATAGCTAGGATTACAGGCATCCAACAACACATGCAGTTAATTTTTGTATTTTTACAGAGATGGTGTTTAGAGATGGGTTTGGCTGGGCTAGTCTCAAACTCCTGACCTCAAGTGATCAACGCGCTTCGGGCATCCCAAGGTGCTCGGATTACAGGTGTCACCCACCATGCCCGGGAAAAAATGAACAATTTTTGAAGTTAAAAAATAGTATGTACGGCTAGCTATGTTTTTAAAAATTTGCTATTCTCTTTAAAAACCTGAATCATTAAATATACAATCAACTCCCCCCTCCACCAATGTTGGATGGAAAGTGAAATACTTACTCCACAGTATTCAAGCATGTGAATAATTTCTTCTTCATATACTGTCTGGGTATAATATTGCTTTTCCAGCTCCCGCCAATTAATTGATTTACTCAACACACCCTGAAATAATAAGCTAAATTAAGATCAAACCACATCATAAGGCAATTTGCCCAATACTTTTGTTATTATTACTGTGTGAGACTACCTATCTTTTTTTTTTTTTTTTTTTTTTGGCAGATGAAGTCTCACTCTGTTGCCCAGGCTGGAGTGCAATGGCACTATCTCAGCTCACTGCAACCTCCGCCTTCCGGGTTCAAGTGATTCTCCTGCCTCTGCCTCCCAAGTAGCTGAGACTATAGGCATGTGCCACCATGCCCAGCTAATTTTTGTATTTTTAGTAGAGACACAGTTTCACCAAGTTGTCCAGGCTGGTCTCGAACTTCTGACCTCAGGTGGTCCACCAGCCTCAGCCTCCCAAAGTGCTAGGATTACAGGTGTGAGCCACCGCTCCCGGCCTGAGACTGCCTATCTTTCGCCTGCATGTAAGGTTGGCCCTTAACTGGAGTCTGGGAAATTGACCAATAAACAGCTTTCTATACTTTTATAAAACTTTTCCTAAAAGATAAGACTGGGTCACTGTATCTAAACTGCTTATATAAACAATGCAGTTTCTGCTGAACACCTGCTTTCCTTCTGAATTTTTGGTGCATGCTAGGCAGAAGTTATCCAAGTCACTAACCCCTGATAAAAACTCTGGACTGCAAGGCTCAGGGGAGCTTCACTGATGGACAGCGCTTTGCACTTACTGTCAATAATTATTGCTGGAAGAATTAAGCATGAACTGTAACACTCCATTAGGAGAGGAATCTCGGAAGCTTGTTCTTGGTTTCTTTTGTTGTAGTTAAGCCTTAATCATGATTATGACTATATCATCATACGACTCAGGAGTCCTATAATTCCTTCCATGAATCACCAAAGCTGAGGGTGGTTTTGGAGACCCCCAAAACAATTACCTCTAATTATATATAGCTACCTAATATTAATTACAATTAAATTACCGTAGTGAAGACCCCAGATGCTGTGGACCAAGACAGGCATGGAATCAATGGCATGGGCTTAGGCCAGTTGGATACCGCTAAGGAAGCCATCTGTAATATAACAGATAGTTTAGAGAGCTTCTGTAGAGTTTCTATTCAGTAAAATAAAAATATTTAATATTAATAAGCATTCAGTGCAGTAAGTTGGTCAGATAAACACAAAGTCTGCAAACATTTGTGAGAATGTCTAGCAACCTCATTAAACTTCCCAAATCATAAATTCAACAACATTTAATTTCCCCCTTAGAAAGCAGTAAAATGTAATAGAAAACTTTAAGTAACCTCAAGACCATTCACTGAGAGCTACTTTCTACTGTGTAAATATGGAGCAAAGATGCCGAGATGTAGATGCTGGGCAGCAGGGTAAACACACTCATTACTTAAGTGACTTACTCAGATACAGCAAAATCACAACTATAAAACAGACCATTGAGGTGGACTGAGTATGCAAAGAATTCGGGGAACCACAAAGCAGATTACATAATAGATATAAAATAATGTAATGGGTGTGATTAGAGAAGGGAAAATTACTCTCCCTTTTGGAGAAGGGAGAACTTTATCTTCTGGAAAAGTTACTTTCCCTTCTGGGCTGGAGGGAAAGGCAGGCTTCATGAAATGGGTGAGTCTTCTAGAGGAATGAAAGATAGGGTCTTGTCTTCCATAGAAATAAATCAGTATGATCAAAGGCAAGATGGTGAGAATGCACAGGGTCTCATAGGGAAATAACCAATATGCTTCAGTTGGGATGGTCAATAGGCACATGTGGCCAATGAAGTGAGGGAGATATGTAGGGCTAGAAAGATTGATCAGGATCAGATTAGAGGTCCTTTGTTCTATAGATAATCGAGAATTAATAAAGAGGTCTGAGCAAAGGAGTAGTATTGTCAAAGAAGTGATTCAAAGAAGGTAACATGATAGTAGTTTACAGGACTGAATAGAGAAGGGGAGAGCTGAGGTAGGAAGACCAGTTAATAGGCAGTAATCCAGGTGAAAGTTATAAGGACCTGACCTAGGTGATAACAATGGAAACACTACTAGGTGGGAATATAAATCCTTTTCCATCTTCTGTTTCACTGTCAGGTAGTTGTTTTGAATTTTTTTTTTTTTTTTTTTTTTGAGATGGAGTCTTGCTCTGTTGCTCAGGTTGGAGTGCAGTGGCACGATCTCAGCTCACTGCAACTTCCACTTCCCAGGTTCAAGCGATTCTCCTGCCTCAGCCTCCTGAGTAGCTGGGATTACAGGCGTGTGCCACCACACCTGGCTAATTTTTGCATTTTTAGTAGAGATGGGGTTTCACCATGTTGGTCTGGCTGGTCTTGAACTCCTGACCTCAGGTGATGTGCCTGCCTCAGCATCCCAAAGTGCTGGGATTACAGGTGTGAACCACTGCGCCCAGTGTAGTTTTAAATTTGAGTAAGTTTTTGAACTTAACTTTCAAATTCAAGAGAAATAAAGAAACTTCATATAATAATAATAATTATTATTATTTTGAGATAGAATCTCGCTTCTGTCTGGGTCACCTAATCTGGAGTGCAGTGGTATGATCACAGCTCACTGCAGACTCAAACTCGGGGGCTCCCCCTCAGCCTCCCATGTAGCCACAACTACAGAGATGTGCCACCATGCCTAATTTTGTAAACAATTTTTTTGTAGAGACAGGGTCTTACTACTATGTTGCCTAGGTTGGGGTATGATTATTTTTTAGGCCAGGTGCAGTGGCTCACACCTATAATCCTAAAACTTTGGGAGGCCAACCTGTGTGGATCACTTGAGCCCACACACAAACAAAATACTAATAATTTTTAAAAAATGTACTGAGTGACTAATATGTGCCAAGTAATAAATCAGAGCATATTCCTGGCCCTCTATGTCTCAACTGCTTCATGGAGAAAACAGACTGCTGAACAAGTCAGTAAAGTACAGTAAAAAGTTACTAATGGGAGTTTCAAGTATAGTCTGGAGGTAAGGCTGGGTGTCACAGCTGAAACAGAAGGGTAAGCTGTTACTCAGCTAGGTGAAAGAGAATAAGGGAGCACTAGAAGGATGCTAGCATGTGACACAGCTGGAGCCCAGTGTGCACACAAGCTTTTGGCAGGTTTTGAACAAGACAGAACAAAGACAAGATTTAGAAAGATCACTATAGTTAGGGTGTGGAGGAGAAATGGTTAAGGAAAAGATCAATAAGAGGCTGGGCTTTGTGGCTCATGCCCGTAATCCCAGCACTTCGGGAGGCCGAGACGGGTGGATCACGAGGTCAGGAGATCGAGACGATCCTGGCTAACATGGTGAAACCCCGTCTCTACTAAAAATACAAAAAATTAGCCGGGTGGTGATGGGCACCTGTAGTCCCAGCTACTTGGGAGGCTGAGGCAGGAGAATGGCATGAACCCGGGAGGCAGAGCTTGCAGTGATCCGAGATCAAGCCACTGCACTCCAGCCTGGGCAACAGAGCAAGACTCCGTCTCAAAAAAAAAAAAAAAAAGAAAAAGATTAATAAAAGACTAGAGACAGAAAAGCAATTAGGAATCCATTTTAGTACACTCTGAAAGGCAGACAAAAAGTAAAATAGGTTGGTGGTACTAGGGAGATAGATAAATGGAAAGTATTTTCCAATTCAGCTATCTTGACCAATGTAACAGCAAAATTGGGCATTTATACTTGAGACTTGAAAAGTTAAATTTTATAATTAATTTGTAATAAAATATTAAATCTAATACCTGCGATACAACTGTGGAATAGTACAGTGTCTATATAAATCATGCAAAAAATTAACATCATTACTTCATAATTGGAATAAGAGTTTGGAATCTGTTTCTGCTTCCTACTTTTACCAAAACTAATTCTATACCTAAAGTGAATTTTTAAAATAACCAGGTTCTCTAGATCTTACAAACATAAACATAATTAAATGTAAGCAGAAATAAAAAGGCTTACGTGTCCTCCCATGGATATTCCAGTCATTCCTAAAGGGCCGTAACCTTCCCTCTCTAGCCAGTGCAAGAGAGCTGCAGATTCTAAAACAAGAGCTCCTCCCATCACAAAAAGGTCAGACACATTTTTTAAGCTGGACCTTCTACCCTCACAAAACAAAATAGAAAATGATTATTTTATGTATTTACATGCTAATATATGCAAATTTACAACAGGCTGCCAGACTTCATGTATTTCTTTTAAAGGACCAGATAGTTAAGTAAAACAATGTAATAAATTGGAATTAGGGCCAGGTGTGGTGGCTCATGCCTGTAATCGCAGCACTTTGGGAGGCTGAGGCAGGGGGATCACTTGAGGTCAGGAGTTCAAGACAAGACTGGGCAACATGGTGAAACCTTGTCTTTACTAAAAATACAAAAATTAGCAGGACATGGTGGCGCATGCCTGTGATCTCAGCTATGTGGAAAACAGGCTTGAAAATCGTTTGAACCTGGGAGGTAGAGGCTGCAGTGAGCTGAGATTGCACCACTGTACTCCAGCCTGGGCAACAGAGTGAGACCTTGTCTCAAAAAAAGAAAAAAAAGGAATTAGACAGCTGCTAACATTGGATTACACATCAAATCACCTAAAACTTAACAAAAAATGTGTTCCTGTTCTATAGCACATAATCTTTACTGAAATTATTATAATAGAATTTAAAGCATAACTTTTTTTTTTCCTTTGAGACAGTGTTGTTCTGCTGCCCAGGCTGGAGTGCAGTGTCATGATCTTGGCTCACTACAGCCTCCACCTCCTGGGTTCAAGCGATTCTCTTGTCTCAGCCTCCTGAGTAGCTGGGATTACAGGCGTGCGCCACCACGCCTGGCTAATTTTTGTATTTTTAGCAGAGACAGGGTTTCACCATGTTGGCCAGACTGGTCTTGAATTCCTGAGCTCAAGTGATCCGCCTGCCTTGGCCTCCCAAAGTGCTGGGATTCCAGGTGTGAGCCACCACGCCCAGGCTTAAAGCATAACTTTTATTTTATTTTATTTATTTTTTTGAGATGGAGCCAGGCTGGAGTGCAGTGGCGTGATCTTGGCTCACTTCAAGCTCCGCCTCCCGGGGTTCAGGCCATTCTCCTGCCTCAGCCTCCCGAGTAGCTGGGACTACAGGCGCCTGCAACCACGCCTGGCTAATTTTTTGTATTTTTAGTAGAGACGGGGTTTCATCGTGTTAGCCAGGATGGTCTTGATCTCCTGACCTTGTGGTCTTGATCTCCTGACCTCGTGATCTGCCCGCCTTGGCCTCCCAAAGTGCTGGTGGGATTACAGGCAAGAGCCACTGCGCCTGGCCAAGCATAACTTTTAAAAAAGGCAACATAAATAAAGAATTTAACCAAACACTAGGCTCATGTATTACTGAAATCTTAAATATGTTGCTTATTTTCACAAAATACACAATTTATGAATATAATAAAATATAAAACAAATACATTTTTATACATATACATGTTTTAAATAAAGACCAATTCAACTGGAATTTCATTTTTAGAAGCTAATTTTACATAGAAGTATATTTCCTTATAAAAAGTACTTAAGCTGGGTGCAGTGGCTCACACCTGTAATCCCAATACTTTGGGAGGCCAAGGCGGGCAGATCACGAGGTCAGGAGTTCGAGACCAGCTTGATCAACAGGGTAAAACCCTGTCTCTACTAAAAATACAAAAATTAGCCAGGTGTGGTGGCACGTGCCTGTAATCTCAGCTACTCAGGAGGCTGAGGCAGGAGAATCACTGGAGCCCAGGAGGTGGAGGTTGCAGTGAGCCAGACATCATGCCACTGCTCCAGCCTGGGTGACAGAGTGAGACTCCATCTCAAACAAAAACAAACAAACAAACAAACAAAAAGTATTTAAATATATCCTTTTGGGTCCTAGAACCATCCGTATATAGTGATTGAAATAAATATATTTTATTTTATTACTAAAATTATGACCAAATTAGAATCTACTTTTCAAAATGCAACTTGTATTAAGACACACATAACTGGTTACTGAATGAAACCTTGCCAAAGTTACAAAAATTCATTTTACCAATGATTATTTATCATATGCCTACACATAATATGTGCAAAGAACCAGGTGCCAGAAGGAATGCCAAACATGAAAAACAAAATCTTGGCTCTCAGAGCTCTAAGTCCAGAAGGTAGGGTTTCTGTTTATGGAAACTATGCTATCCTTCATCCAAACAGATCATAGTCATGCTTCATCAGAAAAAAACCCCATTTATTCTTATCTTTGTTTCCTATCCTCAAGTCATTTTTCTATTTATGATTACACAATTTCCCCAACTTTTTCTTTTAGCCTTGTATGGGAGCCTTGAATTCTGAGGTCTCCCAGTTTGCTCTTTTAGAAGTTACTGATATGAAATTCTGGGACAGTGGTTATTTATAACGGTAGACTCGGTCTCAAATTGTTTCAGCATTTTTGATGAAAACGGACTTAAGATGGCTTTTTAAAAAGAAAGAATGCGCAAGAGAGAAGTATCTGTGATTTAAATTGCAAACCATTTCTTTTTTCTTTTTTTTGAGACTGGGTCTCACTCTCATTGCCCAGGCTGCAGTGAAGTGGCTTGATCATGGTTCACGGCAGCCTTGACTTCCCGGGCTCAGGTGATTCTCAATCTCAGCCTTCTGAGTAGCTGGGACTACAGGTGTGCACCACCATTTCTGGCTTTTTTTTTTTGAGATGGAGTTTCGCGCTTGTCATCCAAGCTGGAGTGCAATGGGGTGATCACGGCTCACTGCAAGCTCCGCCTCCTGGGTTCACGCCATTCTCCTGCCTCAGCCTCCCGAGTAGCTGGGACTACAGGCGCCTGCCACCAGGCCCGGCTTTTTTGTATTTTTAGTAGAGATGGGGTTTCAGGGTGTTAGCCAGGATGGTGTTGATCTCCTGACTTTGTGATCTGCCCACCTTGGCTTCCCAAAGTGCTGGGATTATAGGCGTGAACCACCGCGCCCGGCCCAGAACTTTTGATTTCCCTCCCACAACATCCAATTCATAAACAAGTCCTATTATTTAAACTTAAATATATCTTGAACCCAGGAAAACTTCTCTCCATTTCCACTGCTACCTAAAGTCAGTACTCTTTCCTGCATCATTGCAATAGTTTCCTATTGGTTTTCTCTGTTGCTTTATTTATTTATTTATTTATTTATTTATTTATTTATTTATTTAATTTTTTGAGACGGAGTCTTCACTCTGTTGCCCAGGCTCGAGTGCAGTGGCATGATCTCCGCTCACTGCAAGCTCCGCCTCCCGGCTTCATGTGATTCTCCTGCCTCAGCCTCCCCAGCAGCTGGGACTACAGGCACCCGCCACCACCCCCGGCTAATTTTTTGTATTTTTCAGTAGAGACGGGGTTTCACCGTGTTAGCCAGGATGGCCTCGATCTCCTGACGTTGTGATCCACCCGCCTCGGCCTCCCAAAGTACTGAGATTACAGGCGTGAGCCACCGCGCCCGGCTTGTTCTCTCTGTTGCTACTCTTGCCCCAGTAAACCAAAGTAGGTCTTAAAAAATATAAATCAGGCCACTCATCTGCTTGAAGTCCTCTAGACACTTCCCATTGCACTTTCAGATCATTCACATTCAAAGCATGATGGCCTTTCACAATCTGGTCCTTGTCTTTTTTTTTAGATGGAGTCTTGTTCTGTGGTCTAGGCTGGAGTGCAGCGGCATGGTACTGGCTCACTGTAACCTCCGCCTCCTGGGTTCAAGTGATTCTCCCGCCTTGGCCTCCCCAGTAGCTGGGGCTATAGGTGCATACCACCACACCTGGCTAATTTTTTTATTTTTAGTAGAGACAGGGTTTTACCATGTTGGTCAGGCTGGTTTTGAACTACTGACCCCAAGTGACCCACCCACCTTGGCCTCCCAAAGTGCTGGGATTATAGGTGTGAGCCACTGCACCCGGCCCTTGCCTATCTTTCTGACCTCATCTTGTACTACTCTCCCCTCCTGATGCTTACCTGGGGCTTTTCATTTACTTTTCCTTCTCTGTGGCTGATCTTCTTCCAAGTCTTCATGCAGGTGGCTCCTTCTCATTATATTATGTTTTCATATATAATACTGTTACTACACTGCACCCCATATTACTCTTGATACAATTGCCCTGCTTTACTTCATTCATTGGGTATTGCTAAAAATCTGAAATCACCTTATTTATTGTTATCTATCTCCCACACTACAATACAAACTTTATGAGAAAATGTTGTCTTATTGTTGCAGTATTCCCAGGGTCTAGGTTCAAATATTTATTGAATAAACCAAACGAAACACAGTATAGATTATGGAAACGCCTTGAAGTTTATCGTTTTAAAAGAATGAAAAGAGAAAGTTTATCTTCAGATTTTCTTTTTTTTTTTTTTGAGACAGAGTCTCGCTCTGTCACCCAGGCTGGAGTAGAGTGGCGCAATCTCGGCTCACTGCAAGCTCCGCCTCCCGGGTTACGCCCTTCTCCTGCCTCAGCCTCCTGAGTAGCTGGGACTACAGGGGCCCGCCACCGCGCCCGGCTAATTTCTTGTATTTTTAGTAGAGACGGGGTTTCACCATGGTCTTGATCTCCTGACCTTGTGATCCGCCCACTTCGGCCTCCCAAAGTGCTGGGATTACAGGCGTGAGCCACCGCGCCGGGCCTATCTTCAGATTTTCTATACTATTCATTGTAAGAATAAAGTGTCTAATTACACAATGTAAATGTACCTTAAAAAGGGAAAGGTAGGCTGGGCACGGTGGCTCATGCCTGTAATCCCAGCACTTTGGGAGGCCAAGGTGGGCGGATCACTTGAGGTTAAGAGTTTGAGACCAGCTTGACCAACATGGTGAAAGCCCATCTCTACTAAACATACAAAAATTAGCTGTGTGTGGTGGTGCATGTCTATAATTCCAGCTACTTGGGAGGCTAAGGCAGGAGAATCGCTTGAATGCGGGAGGCAGAGTTTGCAGTGAGCTGAGATCGCACCAGTGCACTCCAGCCTGGGTGATGGAATGACTCCGCCTCAAAAAAAAAAAAAAAAAAAAAAAAAGCAAAAAATAAAAACCAAAAAAGGAAAGGGTTTTATCATTTCTTCATTTACAGTTTCACAACTAAACTATATATTAAGTCTACCTATTAAAATTTTTTATTGTATTTCCTTAACAGACATTAAAATGCAAAAATCTTAAAAATAAAAATTAAAGTCAGTATTCATACTACAGTTTTATAACAGAACTCCCCCCCATAATATTTAGATATTCAATTTAGAAATGGTTAACTGAAGGCAACCAACATTTTAATACTGCTGGATATTTGGTAAAAAGACTGCAAAAATGAAGGTGATATATACTTACACTTGGTCCTTGGGTTTCCTGCAGCCATTTAAGAATGTGGGTCAAAGAGAAAGTTTTAAAATAATTAAATAATTTTGTTTGAGAGTACATTAAGTAGTTAAATTTTCTACAATTTAATACTGAAATAACTCCATTCTAATTCTCTTAAGTAGGCTGTTTAGAAGTTCTTAAATTTTCAACTTAATTATTTTCCTTTTTATTAAAAAAAAAACCCAGCTTTATTGATATCATCATATATCACATAATTCAGCCAATAAAGTATACCTATTAACGTTTTCAGTAAATTAACAGGGTTGTACAAATCTTCAATTTAAATTTTAAATGAAGTTTATTGATTTTTTCATTTATATAATTTTTATTATAGAAAATCCAAAAAGTACTAAAAAGCAGATTAAAGAACAACTACTTAATCTACAGACAACCAGATTACATTCTGGTACATTTCTCTTTATGTACAGTTTTTTTTTTTTTTTTTTTTTTGAGGCATAGTCTTGCTCTGTCACCTAGGTTGGAGTGCAGGCAGCTCACTGCAACTTCTGCCTCTTGGGTTCAAGCGATTCTCCTGCCTCAGCCTCCCAAGTAGCTGGGATTACAGGCGCACGACACCATACCCAGCTAATTTTTGTATTTTCAGTAGAGATGGAGTTTTGCCATGTTGTCCAGGCTGGTCTCAAACTCCTGACCTCAGGTGATCCTCCTGCCTCGGTCTCCCAAAGTGCTGGGATTACAGGTGTTGAGCCACCATGCCAGGCCAATGCACAGTTTTTGCTTTGGATTTTGTTTTTAGTTTTTTTGCATACCTGTGCCACACCATAGAGTCTATATCCTATTTTCTTTTCTTTTCTTTTTTTTTTTTTTGAGACAGAGTTTTACTCTTTTTGCCCAGGCTGGAGTGCAATGGCGTGATCTTGGCTCACTGCAACCTGTCCCCTGGATTCAAGTGATTCTCCTGCCTCAGCCTCCTGAGAAGTTGGGATTACAGGTATGTGCCAGCATGCCAGGTTAATTTTATATTTTTAGCAGAGATGGGGTTTCACCATGTTGGCCAGGCTAGTCTTGAACTCCTGACCTCAGATGATGTGCCCACCTCAGCCTCCCAAAGTGCTGGGATTACAGGCGTGAGCCACTGCACCTGGCCTATATCCTATTTTCACATCAGAAATACTTGTCATACATTATTGTAAACTTTTTAATAATAATAGTTAAAACTTACTGAATGCTTATTATTTATCAGGCACTGTTCTAGATAGTATTAATCATTTAATAACCTCAATAACTTAAGAGATTATTCCCATGTATCAATGAGAAAATTGAGGTACTAAAAGGTTATGTAATAGCCAAGGTCACAAAGGTAGTAAGCAGTAGAGAAATAAATATAACACAGGTAGAGAAATAAATGTAACACAAGCAATTGCATAAAATTCCAATATTATGAACCACAGTTTACATAACTATTTCTATTTTAGACATTAAGCTATTTCTAATAGTTTACTGTCTAAACTAAAGCTAAACAAACATGTTTTTGTTATTTAATTATTTCTTAGTTTTTATTCTTAGAATAAATTTCCCAGAATCAAAATCATTTTGTCAAGGGATATGATGTTTCAAAGCTCCTGATACACATGGTAAAAAATGTTTTCCCAAATGGTTGAACTAATTTTCCGTCATTAATAACAAGAGTGCCCATTTCAAAGCAGCCTCACCAGTACTGTGTTTTTTTTTAAATAGTTGATCATTATTGTTTTAACTCTACATTTATTACCAGCAACGTTGGACATTTCTTTATATCTGTGCATCAGTTTCATTTCTTCTTCTGTGAATAGTCTGACGTCATCTTGAAAATTAAGTTAAGAACTGTCTAAACCTCAACTGATACTGTAAATGCATTTAAAACATGAGTGTTTCCTTAATAGTAAACATTTGACTTACTAATATTAAAAATCTAGCATAAGTCTCCCAAGAAATAGAAGTACAATTTCTTTACTGCACAATAGAAGTACAATCCTTATGTTAATTTTTAAGAGGCATGAAATAGTCTTTCTCTCCTTTTGATTATTGCTTCTTAAGTATTTTCTGAACTGATGACTAAATTTAACTGGTTTAAAAAACTTGGTTACTATCATTTCTTCTGATGACTAACTATATTAATAAATAAACAAGGCAAAATATTTCTTAGATATCACAAAAGGATATAATAAGGGTTTTCTAACAATAAAGAAGCCATTCGGGCTTCTTTAATCATAGGACGGGCCATTAGTGTTCGTCGCCTCCAGTAATGCTAAGGAAAGAAAAGAACACATACTCAAAAGAATACAGTAGCCACATCTGTTAAGGAGAATATGTTAACAAATTATCTGGAGATTAAGGCATTATAATAAAGTCTTACATGATCTCCTGTTCCAGCAAGATGAATGCATACAGGCCTATATTTACTGTTCCATTCTTTAGGCACAATAAATTGGAACCTATTTTTAAAAGCAAAGACTTATCAATAAAATTCTCTTTAAAGGGCTTTCAATAAAAACTTTCAATTCTTAAAAATTTTACACAAATTATTTGAGAGAAAAGATCTGTCGAAATTTTAACATTCAAATTGTAATTAACTAAATTAAGTTGTCCAAACGCTACAAAGATATTGTAAATCTGCTTTCTGTTAGGATATTAAAATATTAAATACAACATAAACACAGAATTTATTGTCACTATTCTTTACCTTGTTCAATATCACAATTTTATAAATACATAAAGAAATTTTCTTATCTTGTAGAGACGCCACCGTATATGAGTAAGTCTTAAAAGAAGTAACTATTAGCCGAGCGTAGTGGCTCACGCCTATAATCCCAGCACTTTGGGAGGCTGAGGAAGGTTGATCACCTGAGGTTGGGAGTTCAAGACCAGCCTGACCAACATGGAAGAACCCTGTCTCTACTAAAAATACAAATAAAATTAGCCAGGTATGGTGGCGAATGCCTGTAATCCCAGCTACTCGGGAGGCTGAGGCAGGAGAAGCGCTAGAACCCAGGGGGCAGAGGTTGTAGTGAGCCAAGATCGTACCACCGCACTCCAGCCTGGGCGACACAGTGAGACTCCGTCTCAAAAAAAAAAAAAAAAAAAAGAAAAACAAGGAACAGAGTCTCGCTCTGTCACCCATGCTGGAGTGCGGTGGCACGATCTCGGCTCACTGCAACCTCTGCCTCCCGACTTCAAGTGCTTCTCCTGCCTCAGCCTCCTGACTAGCTAGGACTACAGGTCCACGCCACTGTGCCTGGTTAATTTTTGTATTTTTAGCAGAGATGGTGTTTCACCATGTTGGCCAGACTGGTCTCAAACTTCTGACCTTGTGATCCACCCACCTCAGCCTCCCAAAGTTCTGGGATTACAGGTGTGAGACACCGTGCCTGGCCAAAAGAAATAACTCTTTAGATATAGCTCTGACTTTTCCTCTTTGCAAAAGAAATGCTTGGCTGTACAAGCTGTTGATGAATCAATAAAATAGTTTATGTTGTCTTTTTAAAAAACTTTTAGTATATGATAGAATCTGACTCATTAAAATGTTGATACTTACAAGTCAAGTCAATCCATGCTAGAAAACAAAAAACACAAATGCGCAGATAGTTTTCTCTATTTGTCTTTTTTTTTTTGAGACAGGGTATTGCTGTTACCTAGGATGGAGTGCCGCAGCATGATCACAGCTCACTGAAGCCTTAACTTTCTGGGCTCAAGTGATCCTCCCACTTCAGCCTCCCAAGTAGCTGGGATTACAGGTATCTGCTACCAAGCCCAGCTAATTTTTTATTTTTTGTAGACATGGGGTCTCGCTATGTTGCCTAGGCTGGTCTCAAACTCCTAGACTCAAGCGTTCCTCCTGCCTTAGCCTCCCAAAGTGCTGGGATTACAGGCATGAGCCATTGCACCTGGCCTTTGTTTTTTCCTTAATTGTAGTATTTTGGTCCTCATTTAATGTTTTATGTTTTTTCTTTTAACCTGTATGACTTCTTTTTTTTTTAACTGTGGTAGAATATACATATCATAAAATTTACAATTTTAACCATTATTATTTTTTTTTTAGAGACAAGGTCTCACTTTTTAGCCCAAGGTGGAGTGCAGTGACACAATTATGGCTCACTGCAGCCCAGACCTCCTGGGCTCAAGCAATCCTCCCACCTCAGCATCCCAAGCAGCTGGGACTACAGGCATGTGCTATCACGCCTGACTAATTTCTTTCTTTCTTTCTTTCTTTTTTTTTTTTTTTTGAGAGACGGAGTTTTGCTCTTGTTGCCCAGGCTGGAGTGCAATAGCGTGATCTAGGCTCACTGCAACTTCCGCCTCCCAGGTTCAGGCGATTCTCCTGCCTCAGCCTCCCAAGTAGCTGGGATTACAGGCGCGCACCACCACACCCAGCTAATTTTGTATTTTAAGTAGAGATGCAGCTTCTCCATGTTAGTCAGGTTGGTCTTGAATGGCTAATTTCTTTTATGTTTTGAAGAGACAGAGTCTTCTTATGTTGCCCCAGATGATCTTGAACTCCTGGGTTGAAGTGATCCTCCTGCCATGGCCTCCCGAATAACTGTGATTACAGACATGAGTCCCCACACTTGTCCGTTTTAACCATTTTTAAGTGTATGATTCAGTGGCATTAAGTACAGTAACGTTGTGCAACCATCACTACCATCTATCTTCAAAACATTTTCATCTTCCCAAACTCATTTCTCATTTTAATTTTCTTAGCAGTTTATATTTTAGAATTACTATCATAGGAAAAGACTGTACTGTCACCTGAAGGTTTGACCTGAGGTGATTAGATTCTCAAGCAACATAAAACCTCAATTCTGAGCTGAAAACTTTGCTTGGACAGAATGGGTAATATCACCACTTATCCACTGTCAATAAATTGCAGAATAGAACAAAGACAAATAAAGTTAGGATGATTTAAGAATTATTTATGTTTTGTGCTCATGGGAACTCTTAATTTTCAGTTCCATAATGAGAATTGCCACTGTTAACCAACAGCTTTGCTTCATTTTGCATTCTGAGCATTGTCCTGTTTCCTGATATTTTAAAGATTTTGGGGAAATGAAAACATTTACAAATTTTTTCAGTAGAAAGCTGGACATCTCTGCTATTATTTGTACTTTTCTTTTGTTCCATAGCAATGCATGTAGTGACTTCATTATTGGATAATAGCTTTAATAGGAATTTTTTATTGTAGTATTAACTAGCTACCCACCTAATTAATTTCAGTAATCAGTGCTCAAATTCAACTATCTTTTAAAAGTCTTCTCCAGTGTCCCATGATGAATGGGTATAGACCATGTGACTCCTCTGCCACAGCTGACTGGGCCAAGCATAAGCCAAGTTAGGGCAATGAGATTTGCTCTTTTGGTAATATGGAATTGGGACAGACTATAGTTAGATTCTGTTGAGCTTTTGGATATGAAAGCTTTTGGATATGGCACAACCCCGTCTCTATTAAAAACACAAAATTAGCTAGACATGGTGGCAAGTGCCTGTAATCCCAGCTACTTGGGAGACCGAGGCAGGAGAATCACTTGACTCTGGGAGGCCGAGGTTGCAGTCAGCCAAGATTGCAGGGCCACTCCACTCCAACCTGGGTGACAGAGCAAGACTCCATCTCAAAGGAAAAAAAAAAAAAGAGAGAGATGGAGCCTTGCTCTGTCGCCTAGGCTGGAGTGCAGTATCACAATCTTAGCTCACCACAACCTCCGTCTCCGGGTTCAAGTGATTCCCCTGCCTCAGCCTGCAGAGTAGCTGAGATTACAGGTGCTCACCACCATGCCCAGCTAATTTTTGCATTTTTAGTAGAAATGAGGTTTCGATATGTTGGCCAGGCTGGTCTCGAACTCCTGACCTCAGGCGATCCACCTGCATAGGTCTCCCGAAGTGCCAGGATTACAGGCGTGAGCCACCATGCCTGGCTCCAGCATGTTTCTAACAGGAATCTCAGAAAAGAATGGAGACAAGACAGGAGAAAAAAAAGTGGCAAAAATAATAGATGAAAATTTATCTGGCCGGGCGCGGTGGCTCAAGCCTGTAATCCCAGCACTTTGGGAGGCCGAGACGGGCGGATCACGAGGTCAGGAGATCGAGACCATCCTGGCTAACACGGTGAAACCCCGTCTCTAATAAAAAATACAAAAAAAAACTAGCCGGGCGAGGTGGCGGGTGCCTGTAGTCCCAGCTACTCAGGAGGCTGAGGCAGGAGAATGGCGTGAACCCGGGAGGCGGAGCTTGCAGTGAGCCGAGATCTGGCCATTGCACTCCAGCCTGGGTGACACAGCAAGACTCTGTCTCAAAAAAAAAAAAAAAAAAAAAAAAAAAAAAAGAAAATTTATCTGTTTTTTTCCAAACTGAAAGGGTCTTCTGAGTGGCAGGCACAAAGAATTAAAAAAAAAAAACAAAACAACAACAACAACATCTAACCACTAAGGATACAGAAAAGACCACAAAAGTTTCTAGAGAGAAACAACTGGTTACCTATAAAAGTAGAAGAATCAAGTTGGTATCAAGTATTTCATCAATAATGCTGGAAGACAGAAAAAAACACACCAAAGCCTTCTAAATTCTGAAGGAAGTTATTCTGAACCAAGAATTACATGAGTAGGCAAGGGGTTAACTAAGTATGAGGGATAATAAAGTCATTTTTACATATGAATAACTCAGAAATTTACTATCTACAGAACCTCAAGGAAAAAAGTATCAGAAGCTATAAGGACAACACTAGCACATCAAAAAGTTATCCACTACAATCAAGTGGGCTTTTATTCCTGGGGTGCAAGATTGGTTCAATATATGCATATTAATAAAGGTTATTCACCACATAAACAGACTTAAAAAAACCACATGATCATCTCAATAGATACAGAAAAGGCTTTTGACAAAATTCAACATCACTTCATGTTAAAAACTTTCAATAAGGCCGGGCGCGGTGGCTCAAGCCTGTAATCCCAGCACTTTGGGAGGCCGAGACGGGCGGATCACGAGGTCAGGAGATCGAGACCATCCTGGCTGACACAGTGAAACCCGATCTCTACTAAAAAATACAAAAAAACTAGCTGGGCGAGGTGGCGGGCGCCTGTAGTCCCAGCTACTCGGGAGGCTGAGGCAGGAGAATGGCGTGAACCCGGGAGGCGGAGCTTGCAGTGAGCTGAGATCCGGCCACTGCACTCCAGCCTGGGCGGCAGAGCGAGACTCTGTCTCAAAACAAAACAAAACAAAACAAAAAAAAAACTTTCAATAAATTAGGGATCAAAGGAAGATACCTCAAAATAAGAGCCATCTATGACAAACCCACAGCCAACACCATACTGAATAGGCAAAAGCTAGAAGCATTCCCCTTGAGAACTGAAACAAAACAAGGATTCCCATTCTCACTACCACTATTCAACACAGTATTGGAAATCCTAACCAGAACAATCAGGCAACAGAAAAAAATCAAAGGCATCCA